AGAGGCGCGCGCAACTACCCTCACTACCCTCTGGGCCTCTTCCACTCCAAAGGTACGAACATCTTAACCAGGGGAGTCGGAAAACGAAGGAACAAGAAGACACTTATCAAAAAGCAAGACTTATAAGTACACCACGCGAATATTTTCTATTTCGAAATTATTGTCGGTACTTTTTATTTTGTAACTTATTGAATAATAAATAATAGATTTGCGCGCAAGGCAAATCTAAATTAAACTAAAATAATCCGAGTATTTTAAATTTATTATATATATATTATTTAATTCAACTTATTCGAATTTAAATCTACTCTCTGGCCTTAATCTATTTACTGCGAGTTGAACGCCCTACCGCGTTCCAACGGGCGAATTAAAAGAACTCAATAAATTTACTATAGCCAATTTTGGGCTATACAACAGTATATAAGTATATGTAACCAAGTATGTACAGTTACAAGCAAAGAGTATAAGATAGAGGGGAAGGTCGCGTATACAGTTACGAATGCCATCTGATGTTTGTGTCCAAGTACTAAACTACTGTCATGGCGGTTTAAAGTAATGCGTCATACTGGTAATACCAAAGTTGCTTGTAACGGTTAACAACACTTGATTTTTATTTTAATAAAAAATTTTCTTTAAACTAATTAAAAAAACATGGTTCGGTGTAATGTGAAAGGATGTCTAAGAAGACCAGAAATAGATAAAGACCATTCTTTTTTTTTTATGGCCAAAAGAAGAACGAATGTAAGTAATAATATAGGCATTAAATTTATAGCGTCTCAAAAGTAAGTTATTGATTATCGATCAACTTTTTTTGCTTGTAAATATTTATATCCTTTGAATTTGGTGTTGTTCAATGTTTTTTATTTACATTTAATAATATAATAAATAATATAATATTAAAAATTTTGCTCGATGAAATTAGTAATTTGAATTGATTTATAAATTTTATTGTATAGACGCCAACAATGGAAGGACTTTGCTCATTATAAGGGGTCTTCAAACAGTTTACGAATTTGTTCCGATCATTTTGAAAGACGTTATATCAAGTGATATCAAGAAAAATACACCACCCAAACGACTATTAGTATCAAATGCTGTTCCAACTTTACTTCCGCCTGATAATATTTTGAAGATGCCCAAAAATATGCCAAAACCTCCTTTGACAAATTCAACTGCAAAAAATTTATTGGTAAACGTCAACAATGACGAAGTTATATTTGAACGTCCGGCTTTGAAAGGTATTGTTTTAAAAATGATTTAAAGAAAAACTGAGAATTGTTTCAGTAGTAAAATAGAACAATATCAGAAATATCAATATTTTTGTTACAGATGAATGTTCGCATAATGACAGAGGCATTACTTTTGAAGTACGCAAGGCTACTGATACGGAACCAGCTTTAATTAATATTGAAACAAATAGCTTTGTGAAAATTTCATTAAGAGGTAAGAAGTGCTTCTGCTTGCATTAGAAGCTGTGACTTAAATACAGATAAAAAAATCAGTTAATTGTATTTAATATTTAAATTCATGATTTTTTTGCGTTTGTGTCGAGTAAAAGAAACTGGTGAAGCCATAGAAAATGTAATAAATCCTAAAGTGAGGGGATAAAGTGCAGAAGATATACTTAAAAAAAAATTCATAAAAAAATTCTGTGATAATCAACTGAGAGATAGCTTTTTGAAAATTATAACTATTGTAACAAGCAGCCTTACAATTTTTCCAAATTTTTATTATTTCAATACCTAAGAAAATGTGATATTTTGTTATTAATAATTGTAAATAATTAATAATTATGGTAACTACTGATTTAAAAATGTCTGAGCCCGAATTGTAAATATTATTTATAAGAATTTTTGTTACTACTGTTTCAAAAATATCTGAATCAAAATTGTAAATATTTTTTAGAATTTTTGTTTAAATAGCTTATTAAAATTTAAACAAATTTGTAATTTTTGGTAAAAAATAGAAAATATTTTAAATACCTTAAATTAACATTTTCTTATTATGGAGATGATAAAATTGGAAAATTGTAAATAACTTAACATTGTTCGAATAGCATTGTAACCAATCCCCGGAAACGTTATGATAGATGTTCTCAAATTTTTTCAAATTCAATGTATTTAGCTTATCAAGCTTACAGTATGATAAAACCGAACGAATTTCCCGACAATGATACAACGGCAGATTTCTTATTGGACATGGATAAACTATTTGATTCACTTAACTCGCATCTTCTTCAACCAACAGTTAAATCAAAATTAAATTTTGCCATAACTGAGACATCTGGACACATTGAATTTTTAAATGAAATGCTGCTTCACTTTGCTGATAGCAAATTTGAAAAAAAAAATGATAAACAAAAAGCTATTCCACCGTGCATCACAGGAATTATGCTAACTATTAACAGTGTTTTAAAATTATCTGAGGAGCTAAGAAAAGAATATAATATTCCAGCATTGAAAACTAGGCGTTTGAATCAAGATCCTCTCGAAAATTTGTTTGCAGTTATTCGTCAACAAAATGGATGTTCAGTTAACTCTTCTACTAGATCATTCGAGACAGCTATAAAACAAAATTTTATTACGCAATTAACTAAAGTTTCCGAATCGGCAAACTGTCAAGATGACGGAAACATGATTTTTGCAAAATTAAACAAGCTCAGTGCTGCAATCGCCAAGCCACAAAAAAGTCAACTATCTTTGCGAGAAGCCTTAATAGAAGCCTCCAATTCAATCAAAGAAATAGAAAAAGATATGTCACTGACAGAAACAGCTTCATTCACCCATGATAATGCAATTTATTATATTTGTGGATATCTAACCCGCTAATTTTTAAAGATTCACAAAAACTGTCAAAAATGTGTAGATTTTCTAGTACTACCAAAATCTGATAACAATTATCAAGAATACAAACTATTTACTATTATGAAAGACTATGCTGATAAAAATGGGCTCCAATATTCTATAGAAATAGTGTTTACAGCTGTTAAAAAATGGAATACCAAGTTTGACCAAATTATCCGCAGTTGTATTCATGAAAAAAATATATCGGCGCATTTATACTCAAAACTGAGTCCAGAATTATCAGCTTTTCAATTGTGTTCTTTGGATGCTACAACATTATTTTTAAATATTTTTATAAAAACACGATGCTTCTGGGAAGTGCGATTCATCAGACGTGATCTAAAAAAGACTGATACTGTAACATCCAAAAAAATAAATAAAAGGAAATTGTCGAAATTCGCAAAATCAACTACTGAAGAAATTCCAATGATAAAATCGAACCAAAGTGAATACCAATGAAAAATATATATAGGAAAAGATTGAATAAAATATATATTTATATATTATTTATCTGTTATAGTCATGTAAGATAAAAAATTTTTATATGTATTATTTAATCATTATACTGTTATATACGTTAAAGCATGTTTCGTATCTAGATTTCTTTTATTAATAGATTTTTTTCATATTACTAAGTGCAATGATAGAATTTTGGCTGTTGCAGCAGTGATTAGTAATCAAATGTTTTTTGAAATATTTTATTATTATAATTAATAGGTTGCTTTTAAGAAAACTTATATTAATATGAGAGAACTTTATATTTACACCAAGTTTTATAATATGTTTTTAAATAGAGTAAATTTTATCGTATATCAAATCATTTTGTAAAAGAAAGATAACTTTTTGCTAATTTTTACAGTATAATTATTGTTAAAATAATAGTTTTATCATTTTAGGATTATCATTAATCAATTTTATATTACTATGTACTTTCAGATATTTATTACTTTAATAAATTTTAATAATTCTTAATTATTTTGTCATAAATTATTTGTTTTCACATTTTATCTTAGGAAATTCAAATTGAACTGAACCGAATGTCCCGCGCGTTTTACGTTTTCATGACTGGACACAATCACTAGAGGCGTTGAAACTCGTGTACGCTTTTTAACATTGCCACTAATGAGAGCCTTCCCCTCTATCTAGCTTATACTCTTTGGTTACAAGTTACAACTGTTTACCTTTTTAGTTTACCTATCATTTTATTTTTTGTTTACTCATAATCATTTATCATCAACAATGTGCAATTTATGATTTTTTCATTATTAAAGAAGAAATATATTGTTGTATAGCCCAAAATTGGCTATAGTAAATTTATTGAGTTCTTTTAATTCGCCCGTTGGAACGCGGTAGGGCGTTCAACTCGCAGTAAATAGATTAAGGCGAGAGAGTAGATTTAAATTCGAATAAGTTGAATTAAATAATATATATATAATAAATTTAAAATACTCGGATTATTTTAGTTTAATTTAGATTTGCCTTGCGCGCAAATCTATTATTTATTATTCAATGAATTACAAAATAAAAAGTACCGACAATAATTTCGAAAAAGAAAATATTCGCGTGGCGTACTTAAGTCTTGCTTATTGATAAGTGTCCTCTTGTTCCTTGGTTTTCGACTCCCCTGGTTGAGATGTTCGTACCTTTGGAGTGGGAGAGGCCCAGAGGGTAGTGAGGGTAGTTGCGCGCGCCTCTGCAGCTCTCGTCTTCGGCTAGCATCCCTTCTCGAGTTGGCAAAATGGGACCATGTTGAAATGACGTTACGACAACCCTCGATGTTCCCAGGTCATTTGCAGCCCGCCTGGATATCTGGTTTTTATGACCTAGCCTTGGGTACTCGAGTAATCCCTTTTTTTAGCGAACGTTTTGGAAAATAAGCTTCTTAAAAGATTATGACAATAAAAATTAATAAATAAAGATCTCTGGGTTTTCTCTAGTTTCGTAAAGAATATTCCAAAACGTTCGGTATCTTATTCTAAGTGACCATTACAATTACAAGCGTAAGTTTATTTTAACAAGGAAATTTTTCTCAGAATGTCTAGCCTAACTGCACGGCACTTAAAAGTTTTTATGTTTTCCCTTGGGAGTTTCCGGTAATTATAAATTCGTCTATACCCTAAAATTTATGATAGAAAAATTCCCATACTTAACAATAGAATTTAAAATAGAAAGGTTTACGATATTTGAAAGATTCTTATTTCTCTTACTGATACTATTTAAATCTTACTGGGTTTTTCCCGCTATTATTCATTGCAGCCATCTTTTTATACGTAATTCTATGTTAATATACAGAGAGCGTTGTGATCAGTCCTTTCGGATTCACAACAATATTTACCCAAAAATAAAAACTTTCCGTAAAATTAGTTGATAAAACTACCTAAAATATAAATGGAATTGAATCATCTGGATAAAGAATCAAATATGAGAAAAATGTAAGTTTTTTTTTTTTAAATTACCAAATGTCTAAATATAAAATTTGCAGACATCTGATAATTTTTATGATTTTTCTTATCAAAAAAATTCTACATGTAGAAGATTTAATAAACTACAAGTGCAATTTTTTAAAATATTTTTTTAGCTCTAATTTAGTTAGTAAAATAATTTTACGAATTTCAGTATCATCAAAAGTCAATTGTTTCTTTTAAAAAAATAAATACTTAAACAATTTTCAGAAGCAGAAAGTCTCAAGAACCAGATCCGAATGACAACAGTGAGCTGGACGGCGTTTTTCCTATCCCTAATTTCAACACTGACGTTGCAGATCTACCAGAGAGCAAGGCTCTGGTTACTCGTCTTGACATTTTCTGGATAATTTTTTCAATAATTACCCACCTGGTGGACCTGGGAACGGACTTGAATTTATCATTCAGATATTACATCAAAGGACAACTCATGTACTTTTTCATCACTACAGCATTTTTGTTTATTCCCTCTTTTATTAATATCATCGTCAGTATCAGGATGTATGAGCAAGATTCAGAGGTACTGTACTTAATTTTACAATTATTTAAAAACTAAAAGACTAATTGATTAGTTATTGATACTAAAATTGAATTTTTAGATGAAAGCTGAAGGGATAAAAAAGCAAACTCTAGCAAGACGAATTCTTAAACTAAAATTATGCTGTCCATTTATTCTAGTATTCCAACTAGCTCCAGTTCTCCGGTACCTAGACTGTCTGAAATATGCTTGCCAGTCATATCAGTGCCGGAAAGACAACGATAATTACGGACAAAGAAAGTATTATATAAAAATGTTGAAAGAAGAACAAGACATATCTTTGCTGCGAGTGTTTGAGTGCTTTTTAGAAGCTGCTCCTCATCTGGTTTTACAGCTGACGCTTATTATTTATACTTATGATGGAATTGTTGCTGTTGATTCAATTTGTAAGTACTTTAAAATTTAGTTTTTTTTTTCTTAATATCAATTGATGATTATTAAATTTTTTTTAGTCTTTCACCAATTAATCAGTATTTTGAGCGCTCTCGGTAGCATGGGCTGGGCAATGTCTAGCTACCACAGAATAATTCGCTTAGCACAAGGTGATAAAGAAAATATCAATTGCATTGGAAATGTCATTCAATTCTTCTGGCATTTTTTCATCACTGGTAAGTATTAATTTAATTAAACTGAAATTATCAGACACCTGAAAGTTCTGAGATTTTTTTTTTTAATGAAAAAACTATTGTAGAAAAATTTTACATTTAGAAAATTTGAATAATTATAAGTGCAATTTTTTGAAAATTGTTTTTCAGTTCTAATTTAAGTAATGAAAAAATATCCTTACGTTTGCTGATTTCGGTATCATTAATTTAGAAATAAAATCATAAAAATCAACAGATATTTGACAATTTGTGAGATTATTATAACAAATTAATCATGATAAAAAAAATATTTCTAAAAATTCGCACAGATCATTTTTTTTACTTTCTAAATGTAGAATTTTTTTACTACATTTTTTTCATAATAATTGAATTTTTATAAAAATAAAGAAAATTGTCAGAAGTTTGTTGGTTCCGATATCATAAAAATGACAATAGTTGTTAATTATATTAATAACGACTAATTATCAATTATAAAATTCTAGTATCAAGAATAATATCAATAAGTGCAGCAGCAGCAATATTTGCAGTTTACACAACAATATTTTGCTTCATCCACTGGTTCATAATGACCCTCTGGATTTTAAGCAGACCAACTGGAGTGATACAATTCTGTCGTGACCAAAGCAAAGGTTCTGACGCTCCATTGACAATCTATGAGCGCATCGGATACTACCTGTTTTCAGCGATTCTCGGCGTGGTTTACGTCTTCACATACCTAAAGCCAGCCGAGGGATCAACTTTCTACAGGCACATTTTTTATTACACCATTTGCGGAATCGAAAATGCGGCAGCTTGTATTGTATGGGCAATTGCTGATTACAATACTGTCCTGTTTTTACGGTACTACATACTCGTTATTTGCTTGTGCATTGTGCCATTTATTCTTGGAATTCTTTGTATGATAGTTTATTACAAATTTTTCCATCCGACTTTGTCTAAAAACTCACAAGTACCTCACACAGACTCAGTCAATATTTAAATATACTTATATTTTTATAATCAGTGATGATTATTATTAATACTGCCACCAGTTTATACACACTCATGCATTTATATTTATGGTACTGATATAATATAATAGTTAAATATTTTTATACTTTTTTAAGTAAAGTAATTAATATTTATTACCAGTTCTTACTCAGATTTTTATACAAGTTAAAGTCCATGACAGTACTTTGAATTTCAAAACAGCGAACAAATTTCAGATGTTACTAACATGTTAAATTTATTGTGAAATAATTTTTTATCTAATTTGATAAAAGTATAATAAAGTACAAACTTTCAATAAAATAAGAAATTGTTTAAGCATTTTAGTCATTGTTCAGTTTCACTTTTTTTTTTTAATAAAAAATCAATTGATACGAAAATATTTTTTGAATTATTCTACTGCTAATAAACTTGATAAAAAAAAAAAAAAAAAAAAAAAACATTTTATTGTTAAAAAAAGTTTTAAATATTATTTTTTTGTGGGTTGAAATTTTATGAACCGTGAAACTGAACAATTACTTCATTTTTTCATTTCAAAAAATCCATTAAATAATAAAAACTACCTTCATTATTATAGAATTGTTTCAAACTTGCTAAAAGTTATGAAATCTTACGGTTTTTGAAACTAAAATTTTTTTTAAATTCATAATTTCATGTCTTATAATGATAAATAATTTTTATTGTTTATATACAAGCAAAAATTTGAATTATTTGTTAAAATTAAAACTAAAATATTTTTCTGGCGATTCTTAATATTTTTTAGTAGTTTACGTGTGAAAACAATTAAAAAAAAATTTTTTTTTCAATTCTTCTATTTTTGTTAAATTTATGAAAAATAAGTATTGAAATTTTGTAAACCGTGAAAATAAACTACCATAATTTTTATTCAATATTATTATTTTTTAATCAATAAGTGTTACAGATTTATATAAATATTTTTGTTGATATAATTAAATTTGACTTAACTATATATTAATAAATTATTGAATTGTACATAATCACAACAATAATTAACTAATATTAAAGAAAAAATAATATTGCAATTTAGTTAAACTTTGTTCCGTGCAAACGATTTAGTAATAAATTCGGGTTGAGGAATATCCTTAAAAAATTCGTGTGTCACCCGAAAAATATAAAGTGAAGGATTGGATGCATTAAATTATTAAAGATTATTAAAAAATGTTCATTATTTAGTAAATAGTAGCATAAACCTAGAGTATCAATCGACCGGATTTTGCACGACAATCAGAATAAACTCCTTATCAGGCGCTACCATGACTTCGTGCTTCTTGCTGCGGATACGTAAAAACGTGAGGTCGTTTGTCGGGTCTAGATCACGCACCACAGAGCGAGCTTTGTCCGATAACTGGCTGATCAATCCCGCATATTGAACTGTTGTCGTGTTGTCAAGCGTTGATTTTATCGGTATACCTAGTTAGTAAATTAATGAATTAGTTTTGATTATAATTACAAGTAACAGTAAAATATACGAAAATGAATTTACCTTCAGAATTGACGACAATTGTACCTACGACACCCTTGTGGGACTGAATCCGCTTCATAGTTTCTTCAACTTCCTGAGCCTGTAAAATTTCAGTCATTATTTTTTTTTATGCTCATAAAAAATATTAATTTATTTGTACTCACCATTTTAGGTTATTTATTCAAGCTACAGATAAACTGTTTATTAGATATGCTGTTTATGAAAATTTAGTTTGGTCTATAAATATATTTTGATAAGAATAATAATAATAATAAATGAGATTAAATCATTGACTAAACAAATTTGTAAATGCAAAATATAAGTAATGACAGTCGAGGTTAGGCAGGTAAGAGAGAGTTGAATTTTTTTACCGATTGGTGTTGAGGTTCAATTCCTACAGGTTATAATTTATAATTTATAATACAGTATCATTCACTTGTTTTCAAATATTCATTTTTTTTTTTTTATGTAATCTATACTGATAAGGTAAAAGACCCAGTTATTGGCACACTGTCCGAGTTATTGACACTTGCTATTTTATTCTAATTAAAAAAAACAATTCGACTTAAATAAAATAATAAATACAATTTTTTAATTATAAATTTTACGATAATTGGTTTTTTGGGAACATTTTATTTTTTTAATTAAAATAAAATTGCAAGTGTCAAACAACTAGACCAGTGGTCAATAACTGGGTCTTTTACCTCAAGTGATAACTTAATTTTGAATGCCTCAATGAAAAAATTACTGAACCAATAGATATAAAATTTTTACCAAAAAATGCAGCATATTTCGGACGAAAGTTTTAAAGTTTTAGTATATAATACATTCTTAATTGCTAGTATCTAAGATACATTTGTTGAGCTACAAAATGATAACTTTTGCAAAGTATAAATTCGGTATTTTCGATTGACAACTATGAAAAATCAAAATAAAAATTCAATGATTCGTTTATTATTTATTTGAATCAACATTCATTTATTCAATGACATTTTATCAAATATCAAATCAAATTTAAATGATAAATAATTGTAAAAGTTTATTTTAATTATCAGACTAAAATTCACCAACCAAACTAACTCACTTTTCATAAAAGTATTTATATTTTTTAATAAAATGTCCAGAAAATAAACCAAATATATATCTTCAACAATCTATATCTATTCTAAAAAATGAACAGACTTTTTTTATAAAAATGCTTAACCGAAAAAAATCATTAAACCAAAATAGACGTCAAATTAATCTCATAAAACGCACAGTTTCTCAGTTAATCTTTTAAATTTATAAATATTCTTTCGATATTTTGTTAGTTATGAAAATTGTAAATTTTCTTCACAAACCGTTTCTTTGGTCGATTTATTTATTTAAGTAAATAAAACGTAATAATTGCATTGTTGATCGACTACTTAGATATTTTTAGAGTTGAATAGAATTTTGATTACGATTATAGGAGATATCAATGTAGAAAACCAAAGATCATTTTGCATTTTAAAAATCCACTTGTAAGGTATTTTGATAATATCAACAGTATTTATTTTTGCAAATAAAAAATTACAAACATTTATAAAAATTCTTACGAACATAAGTGAGTGTAAATGCTGATATAAAGTTAAAAAAAGGTTTTGCTAAAAAACAAACAAATTTCAATAGCAAGTGTATAAATTAATTAATAAAAACATTAAATTATAATGACAGTGAAGAAATTAACAGACACGACAATTTTTTGATTTTTCTTGAAAAATAAATTATTTAAAAAAAATTTCATTTAAAACTTTTCAGAGCTTCTAAAAATGGAATTTTTTAAATAAATTTTTCTTGCTATTATTTATTTGTTGAGGAAATTCTAAAAATTATTGGTTATAGGATCTTAATTTTAGTATCATAAATTGTATTACATGAAAAATTAAGATTTTATCTATTAGAGTTTCAGTTTTTAAAAATTGAATATAAAACAGATTCAAACTTGCGCGCTTTAAGCGCTGGCGTCGTTACCGCCATTTTGAGAAAACTACACATGCGCGCGCCGCAATTGTTGTGTGTAATTCCGTTATTACTTTATTTGAAATAAACGCTCTCTCTTGCTCGCGTCACCCGGCAGGCCGGCACCTGGATACCAGCGTACACTAAAGAGAAAGATGTTGTTAAATTTCTCTCAAGTAAACTAAAGTTTGTTGTCTTGTTGACTACTCAAGCTAACCGCTTAATTGTAGTCATAACCAAAACGTTGTATAAATAATAAATAATTGTAATTAATGTTATACTGGTATAACTTTATACATTTAGTACGTTAGAAAATAACACGAAAATGGTGCGATACACAGCATTGAAAGGTCTTTATGAACTTGACAAAACAATCGGCTGCGGAGGGTTCGCGAAAGTTAAATTAGGCACTCATTTAGCGACCGGTGAAAAAGTAGCCGTTAAAATAATGGAAAAAGCAGCCTTAGGAGTACGTTTTATTTTTATTATTAATTTATTTTATTTTTAATAATTTTTTTTTAATTGATAATTATTTTTATAATGTTTAAAAAATTAATTTTTATTGTCATTTTAGGAAGATCTGCCGAGAGTGAAATTAGAAATCGATGCATTAAAAACTTTATTACACCAACATATATGCAGATTATATCAAACAATTGAAACGAGTACCCACTATTTCATGATTATGGAATATTGTTCTGGTGGTGAATTGTTTGATCATATTGGTAAGACAGTGTATTGTTTTAATATTATTATTATTATAATTGTTGTGGTTGTTTCTATTCCTAATTCCCGAATTAAATCTAAATGATAATGAATGATGCTAAAATTAGCAGACATCTGACCGAATTTAGTATTTTTTATAAATACAGAAATTATCGTATAAATGGAATATGTGAAAAATAGATTTTTCAAGTAAAAGTTTATTTCTGAAATAATAAAATGTCTGCTAATTTCAGTATCATAATAGTTATAATTTTTTAAAAATTCAGACTCTGCATTTTTAAAAAAAAGAAGTTTTTTTAATTTTCACAAAGAAAATATTTTTATAACAAAATTCTAATTTAAATATTTATTATATTACTACCTTCCAGATTTAATACTAACTATAATAATGGGAACTTAAAAAGAAAATTTTAGATTCACAATTTTCAAAGAAAAGCAAATTAAAAAAATTTTGTCCTCAAATTGGTTCAAAAAAATTGAATTTTGTTATCATAATTAATAACTACTAAGATTTATTCGTTTCTGTTAACAGTTGAAAAAAATAGATTGACTGAACATGAATCAAGGAAATTTTTTCGGCAAATTGTGTCAGCGGTTGCTTATTTACATAGTCTGGGTTTTGCTCATAGAGATTTAAAACCCGTAGGTATTTTTTAAATTATTTTATTCATTTAAGTTACTGAAATTACCATAAGTTGTTTTTTTTTTTTTTTTTTTTTTTTTTTTTTTTTGTAATTAATGATGATTAAATTAGATATTGATTTTAAAAATTTTGAGATGAAGTTCTTTAATATTTTTAATAATTTATACAATACTTTAATTCTTATTATTTGATTTAACTAGGAAAATGTACTGCTAGACAAGGAGCAAAATTTGAAATTAATTGATTTTGGGTTGTGTGCTAAACCTAGAGGCGGAATGCAAACTCATTTATTAACTTCGTGTGGTTCTCCAACCTATGCTGCACCTGAATTAATATTAGGAAAAAAATATTTAGGTATTTATTAATAAATTTCATATAAATTTATGGATCATTGTCATTTTAAGACAATTTAATTTTTTGTTTTTCCGTCAATTATTGAACTAATGAAATTTTTCTAGGATCTGAAGTAGATATCTGGAGTATGGGAGTGTTATTGTACGCATTATTATGCGGATTTCTTCCCTTTGATGACAATAATATTGACAATTTATATAAAAAAATTTTGGTACTTATTTATCATAACTCGAGTTTCTAATTTTGTTTATCAAGATTCATTATAACTTGTTGATTAATAAATTTCAGAGTGGAAATTTCGACGAACCAAGCTGGCTCTCTGGTAGTAGTAAGCGTTTGATACGTGTAATGTTACAGACTGATCCAAAAAAACGTATTACTATTGAAGAACTCTGCAATCACTCGTGGGTTATAAATGGCAGTAATTCTTCGCCTTTCGTTCCTACAAAAAAAAATATAGTAAATCATACTACTTATTATTTATTACTATTTATTAGCAATACTTTGAATCTACTTAATTCTAAAATGAAAATTTTTTTCCAGTTGGAAAAAGACAACGAAATATTGGGGATATTATCAGAAATATGTTACGACTCAGTTCAGAATATATGGGAGTCGTTACTAAATAGTACTCGAAATGATTACAAAACAGCGACGTATTTGTTGTTGCTAGACCGTAAGAGTAAACGATTGCCGCTAAGGATATATCCTGGTGCTTACTGTTATCTTTTATCCGAGGTATGTTTCTTTTTTTTGGTATATTCAATTATAACTAGTATACGTTGCACGCGTAAGCGCGCGTGTGATTGTTGGTATGGAATTATCTATATTTTCATGCTTATGATATATTTGACCAATCACGTTGCGAATAGTTTGCTCTTACATGATATATTTTCATATTTTTCATCTAAATTATAAGAGTGGATTAGAATTTAATTTTCGCGCGCAAGCACGCGCGTCATATTTAATGTCATGATATATTTATGTGTCGTTTATGTATATTATATTCACTTTCAACCAATCAGAATGAGAATATTTATTTTCGACCAATCACATTACGAATAAATTGGTTTCACATACATTTCATCTCAATTTTATTATGGGATTAAAAAAATTTTTTATGAATTCTACTTAGATAGATTTTTAGTAGATTTTATAAAAATCTAACTATTGCAACCGTCCTCATGGCGCAACTTAAAAAATTTAGCCATTTTCTGACTCAGTTTGTCGAGCTGAGTCAGAAAATGTAGTTCGTTCAAAATTTTATATATGTATGTATTTGTACGATATAGCGTTTTTAATTTATAACCGATTCTTCTCAAACTCAACATGCTTTATTTATCGATCAAGACCAAGATTAAGTTCGAAGATGAGCTTAATCGGGCGAGTAATTTAAAAATTGCAGGATTTTGAAATTTTGAAAATCGTAAAAATTGCTGTTTTTACTACTTTAACTTGGTATAATTACTGAACTAGACAAGATATTGAAATTCGGTAAAATGCATCGTAAAGCTCTTTTAATAAGCTTCAATTTTCACTACTCAGAAGTGGTAATAGCCCCAATATTACTCCGTTTAGAGTTCGTTTAATGAAACAGTTTTACTGTTGCAGCCGTTTTAGAATTATTGTCTGCATCCTAGCTTTATCATGATGTAAATTCAATAATAACGATATTGATCAGTCTTTCGTGTAATGTTTTCGGGTACGCCGTCAGTAAATATGTCACAAATTAGTTCTAAATATTGTTTTCTTCAATTAAAATTTTATCCGGTTTCAAAATTCTGATTAACTTGGAAACTGTTGTTCTTTAGCAGTTACTTAAAATTTGGACATTTATAATTCAAATCTTATAATCTTTGCAATTGTTTGATAAATATTTGAGAAACTTTTTTTTTATAAGATAATTTTTTTTCCAAAATTTGTTCTAAGTCGTTTTAAATTTATTATTGAATTTTGTTTTTAATTTATGAATTAAGTTATACATTATTAGTATTTATATTATTTTATTAAAAATTTTCTTTATTTGAAAAATCTACTTCCATTTTGGCTGCCGAATGGCCTTTTTTAGTATTGAATAAGCTTTTTTAACTAAATTTGTCATTAAATAATTTTTTAACCTTTAAGGTTTTAATAAATATTTTTTATCAGTTAACAAATCGTTTATTAATTTTTAATAAAAATTTGTTTAGATTCTTCAACAGAAAGTGAGTAGAAAAATTAAACTTTGAGACTTCTTACAACTCCATAACTTCAATAAATAATTCTATTAGATCTGAATCAGTAACTATTTTTTTATAAAAAATATCGAAAATAAAATTAAACAATGGTTGTAAAAAGTTACAAAATTCTTTAGCGATGAAAATAATTAGTGCGTCGTATCTTTATTATAAAAGATTATTGCATTCTTTGTTTATGAATTATATTCACATCTATCTGTTAAAAAAAACTTATTCACTCCAAAAACAAAAAAACATAATTAATTTGAATATTTGTTAATTATTATATTAATAAATGTACTTTTTTCAACAAAATATTTATTTATATTGAAGAATTGTTATATAATTAAAAGTTAATCATTGAATCTATTGTAATTTAATTTAATTAATGTAAATATTTTTAATATAGAAGTCGCTAATGACCTTGTTGTTAAAAGCGACTTAAAATAAAACAATATAATAATAATAATAATAATAATAATTTATTTATATTTAATAAAAGACCAAATTGTTTCCAAATAAAAGAATTTATTAACACTTAAGAAATTCTTCTAATAGTGATTAATAATGAATAAATATGAATATTTTTTTTACAGAACTGTAAAAATATGAGAAACGAAAACGAAGTTAAAACCCTAATAACTCAATTGGACAATTCACCACGAAGACCATTGACAGTAAAAAGTACCGGCAAATCAGAAGCCACGAGAGGACTGTCGCCAATACCGGACATAAAAAAGCCGTCAGCAGAGTCTCCAGCTTCGGGAGCTCGTAAAAGAGTTCATGATACTAATGAGGAAGACGACAGTATATCTCCGACTGGTGAGTTATTGGTATTATACTTGAAGTAATTAAAGTTACAGTTACTTTCGTTACGGTTTTACTTCTAATTGCCCATAAGTTTGCTTGTTTAGCTTAAAAATCACAATAATTTTACTTAGCTTGTTAGAGTGTTTATTTTGGTGGTAAATTTTCGGTAAAAATTATTCGATTACTCGGGTATAATGAATAAATAAATCAATTAATTTAATTATTTTTATTAGTACCAGTTAAGAGAATTCAAATGGATAAGTTTAACGATACAGTCCCCGTTACACCGAAAGATAAAAATAAACTGTAAGTTGTTAGCAACACATGCTTAGACTTTTATTCGAATATTATATAGGTGATAATAATGCTGGTTTATGTTTTTTATAATAAATATTTGATAGTACACAGGGTACAGGTACAAATGCAACACCAGGTAGTGCTAGGAAGGTAATAATAGGTTTAGAGCGTGGACTAAATCGTATTAGAGATGTCTTGACGCCAAAAAGGAAACTTAAGTGCGTTAATAATGATAACTCTCCGGATCAACCTATTGTTCTTAGTGGAAAGGTAAGTTTTTTTTTTAAAGTTTATTGATTGACTCGAATATTGATTGAGACGAATATTGATAATTGGTGATTTGAGGACTTTTTGTACGAACTTAGAAAACCGAAAAAAGTGATTTTTTAATATTTTTTTTTTTTTAATTATTTTTTTTTGTCATTAAGATGAAAATTGATATAAGTAGTGACTAAACTTTTTTTTTTTTTTTTTAATAATAATCATTTCGCTAATTCCCGTAGACGATCTCTAGGAAGTCCTCTATAAAACGTTTTTAATCGAAATTTAAAAATTCAAATAAATTCTGGTAATATAAAATATTAATTAATGATTATCGAATGATCAAAGCCATTCCCATGGGAATCATCAAACCAAAAACTCAAGTGTAGATTCTGTTTTTGTCAAATAATTAATACGAAATTATTAAATCTTAAAAATCTTAGTCTCCGATTATATCACGTGTTTAGAAAGTTTAAAATCTGAATTTTTGGTTAAATACTAAAGACTCAAAAAAATCATATGATATCTCTGTTGTAAGAAATTTATTTTTCTATCAAAATAGTCTTTATTAGTTTTCCCGTATCTCTCATCGTCCAATCAAAATTTAAACTGAAATTGATATTTTCATATTTTAAATTAGTTTAAACAGCGAAATATTATTTTTAAAATATTTTGGGTGATATTTTTCTGATGACTTGCACTTGCACGCTCGATAGTGGATTTATATTTAAAAATAAAAAGAAAATTTCAATCTTGTCTTGATAAGATATATTTTATTATTGTCTTATTGTTGTCTTACAATGAATTCTTATTTTTTAGTTCCCGCTTTGAAAATTAATAATTTCATTTTCATAGTAGAAAGTTGAAAAATATATATATATATAATTATATCTTCTTATTTTTCTTTGAATTTATCTTTTTCCTATAAATTTGAAGATAAAAAATGAAGCTTTACTTTAAAACAAAAAATAAGACTCCATTTAAAGACATGAATAAGTCTCCATAATTTATTAAAATAATAAATTCTGACTATTTAAGATAGTAGGTATTTCGCAATTACCTTAATAAATTATAAAAATATAATTGACAAAATTGTGTCAAAATTAGAGACCTTTCGATTCTATAAATTCTAAGTGCGTACAACTATTTAATAGAATTTTTACGATAAGTTATAAGCGAAAATTTAGAATATAAAAACTTTAAATAATACATTTAAAATTTATTATTAACTATTTAAAGGGCCTTTGTAATGTATCATCAACATCAAATAATTGTCCAAAAGATGTATTATCACAATTACGACGTGCATTACAACGTAAAGGAATTTTCTGTCGACAAAAAGGGTAATTTACACTTTCCAATTGACAAAAAAAATAAATAGATGTAGTAATAGGTATAGTAGATCTAAACAGGTGATAGTTAACAAAAAAATTATCTGTATGGTAGCTTTATTCTACAAGGAGAAACTGAGGTTTATGACAATGAGAATATAAAGCAAGGTCAAAGAGCATTTGGCAATCAAAGGAAAATCTGCTCGTTCGAATTAGAGGTTTGTCTGCTGGATGGATTCTCAACTAATGATAAACCGGTTGTCGGCATACGTAGGAAAAGATTGAAAGGCGATGCGTGGGTTTACAAACGAGTATGTGAGGAAATATTGGCACTTGCCGCTGAGGACGTTAAGACCACCGATCAGGATTCTGTTGAGTCTGCTAAAACACCGTCAGGACATTGTCTCATTTAATGGTTCTAAATAGGATGTAGAATGATAGTGATGGAATCTGCTTGCTCCAATGACTCCGTACGCTCCATTTATTACGTTTTTATATGAACTGTAAATTAATTTTTTAATAACTAATCATAAGTGATAGAAATTATGTTTTTATGTTTAAAACTCGATTGTTTGTAAAAATTATAACAAAAGAGTTTTATTCTATGTTTTTGATAAAAAAAATTAATATTTATTTTAAAATAATTTTAAAATAAAAAAAAATTTTAAATAAAGTATTCGTAATTTAAGTTAAAAATTTGTTGGTAGCCGTAAAATATAAATTTGAAAGCTTACTGGAATAATAAAACCTAGCAATATTTAAATATAAAGATATACATACAACAATTTCCAATATCCTCGAAATTTACGATCGATCCAGTTCATAGTACGCGTGAATAATCCCAAACAAAAGATTAAAGAATGACCTGAAGAGCTCGCTCCAATATGTAAAGTCTAGTTGTTATTTCCTTCCGCGGCTCGTTTGAACCAGAGTAGCAACTCGACGTAAAACAAGCGTAATACAGACAACTGAAGTTATAAAATCACAAATCGATCACACTATAAAATAAGTACTCCCTCGGCAAGTATTGCCGCAACATAAAGGTTTTATTTTATGACCAACGTATTTCTTTTAGTTCCTCTCTGCTCTTGCCGCGAAAACTTTATCTTCTACTTCGTATACTCAGTAAAATGTATTATTTGTTACATTTTATTGTTATTATTAATTTTTTAAATTTAAAAAAAAATTTTACTAATAATGTCGAAACTAAGTTTCACCTATTTTTGGGCATAGATAATAGAAAAATCGAGTCGTCATTAATTTTTTTTTTTTGTTTTATTTCATTGGGTAGATATCCTTAGACATCTAGCTATTGTAGTCAGTCATATGTCGCAATTTTAAGAAAATTTTGATATAATATGTTTTATTTTGTCGAGTTATGTCAAAAAATAACATTGGCTTAAAAGTTTACTTATACATGTAATATAAAGCGTCAAGTCAGCAGGATTGCGCCCATAGTTCTAAACCGATCTTAATGAAATGATGTGAGCTTATTCTATGAATCAATGCTGAGATCAAGTTTGAATATGAGTGAAATCGGCCATTCAGTTAACAAGTTTTGGGTGTTGGAAAATTTTTTTCTTTTTCGAAAAATTTTGAATTTTGTCAATTTTATTAAACTAATATTTCGGTCGTAAAAGATAGTTAAAATTTATCAAATTTATTAAAGAAAAACACGGAAAGGAAAAAGGAAAAAATTACATCTTATAATTTAACGTGGCGCTTCATATAAAAAACTAGAAAAATTACAGTTTCAGATTATAATTTTTACAAATTTTGTGAGAATTAAATTGTAAAATTTGAGTAATACACTTAACGCTGTGAAAATTAACTTTCAAAGTTTGAATTTCAAAAATGTTATTTTGAACTGCAATTTTTCTAGTTTTAAATCTGAAGCGACACATGACTGTTTATTATGTTATGTAATTTTTCCTTTTTTCTTTTTTCCGTATATGCATAATTATTTATTAATTGCATAATTGATTTTATTATTCGTCCAATTTTATGATTTTTTCAATTTATTTTGTGACTTTAAAAATAAAAAAAAATGTATTTTTGGCATTTATCTTCGAATAACTATTTTTTTTTTTTTAATTTGTTTAAAGTCGCATAAACTACTAAGGTCATGAGCGATTACAGTAGGGGTAAACTTTTGAGATTGGAACTCGTTTGTATTTCTTGGGCTGAGCAGAATAATACACTTAAATATTGAAAATATTCATTGGTGTACGCCGGATTCGAACCCGGTCCAATGCTTTGGTAGCAAGGGCCGGATCCGATAGGCTACTGCGCGCCTTCGAATAACTATTATGTTTAATGATGAATCATTATTATATATTCTTGATTTAAGAATTCCATCTTTCCATGTCAGGTATTGGTAATTCTTGACGATCGATCAACGATTTAAAGGTGATGCGACGGTTTTTTAATATTTTTAACTTCCTGCTAAGAAAATTGAAAATTTTCAAAAATCGGGAAGTTATTGTTTTTACCCCGTTTTTCGCAAATCGAGTTTTCATCAGATCTCGACGTTTTGAGGTCCTAGAAAGCTTCCCTGACTATTCCCGCGATGGTGTGTGTGTGTGTGTGTGTGTGTGTGTGTGTGTGTGTGTGTGTGTGTGTGTGTGTGTGTGTGTGTGTGTGTAATATAAACCTTTCATAACTTTTGAATGGCTTGACCGATTTGATCGCGGTTGGTGCCATTCGAAAGGGTTCGACTAAACTTAGATTTTGAATACAAGTTGGACCGATTCGGACGTATAGATTTTGAGAAATCTTAAAAAAAAACTGCGAAAAAAAATTTTTTCAAATGTGGTTTTTTTTTTAATAACATTCAAACGGCTCGACCGATCAATTCCAAAAACTAATCAGCTCTCAACATTGAAAAACCACGTCGATCGCGACCGAGATTGTCAAAATCGGTTGATTCGTTCGTGAGTCATCGTTGACGAAGGAAATCGAAATTTGTGATTAAAGATGTACCATAGAATTTGAAAAACTGCGTCGAATGCTGCCAACCGCGTGAAAATCGGTTCATTCATTCAAAAATTATTGCGGTTTGAAAATTCAAAAAATAGTGTTTTATTAAACTTTCATCAGACTTTTGAGCTCGGAGAGCTCAAAACTACACGTAAATTATAGTTATGAGCTCGAAGAGCTCAAAAACATAATAACTGCAATTTTAAGCACTTAATTACGAAAGTAGCGGGAAGTTGCAGGGATGGCCTTCAGGGTCAACCGTTTTCCTAATTTTTTTTTCGTTCTATATGTTTCAAAAATAAAACAATTTAAAAATAAACGGTGTCAATATTTCAATTTTTCAAATTTTGCACGTTAAGCCCAAAATTAAAAATGGAAAATTTTTTTTGAGTCTCTTCTTTGAGTTTAAAAAATCTGCTGTTAAGTATAAACACTGAAAGAAAAATCATAGAATGTATTATTACTTCAACTTTTTATAACCAAAAATAAGCAGAGTTTCATTTTGTTATAATTTTGAAAATTTTCATAAAAAATTTTAGCAAACAATAAAAAAGGACAATAATTGAAACCAATAACTAGAAATAACAAAATTTGTATTGAAATATTTATTACTCAACGGTCTATTATACATATTGTAATACATAATTATTTATAAAAGAGACAGTTAAAAAAGAAAAAAGCATAAAAGGATGCCTTTAACTCGACAGGAAATCTCAGACGCGCCCACCATCAGAACACCTCGCCCTTGTCCAACTCAATTTAATCTTCCGTTTCCTTTATTGTATTCCATGTACTCAATATGATAAGGGCTTTATAAATTATTATTATTTTTTTTTTTTCATTCTATAACGCTCTGAAATAAAAATGTACATACATTTACCGTCTACGTTTTCTGTAGAATGAATAATAATTATTTATACGTCAAGTATTGGAATAATCAGAGTTATAGAGTAGAATTGGAATGGAATAAGATTAAAATTACACTTATAGTTAATAATTACTAAGAGTTGTGGAAAGAAGTAGCAAAAAAATGATAAAGTTTGTGGACTTGAAGTAACGCACTTGCGCGAGTGCATTAAAGAGCAATTAGTAGCGGGTTGCGAGCACGGTGATGCCCGGAAGCGATAGAATAAGCCGCGCGTGCCATCTTTATGTACCTGCGAGTCCACTTGCGCCTTATTTAGAACCAGAATAATATAATAATACAATATAACAAGTCCGATGTACTCTTCTCTAGTGCTACTTTGAATTTAATGCCTTTTTCATCATTACCTGCCTCTAAAGACGCTTATAAGATACATTTTTATTTATAACTTTAATTATAAATTTAATTTTATAAATATTACCTACAGATATATTAGACTCTCGGTAGTTACCTTCGTTATTAAATTCTATTTAATTAATGTAATTGTTTCAGGAAATTTAAAAAAGCTAAGGAAAATTTTTAAGTCATTTTGACTTATATTTCTTTCAATTGAACAGAAAATGGAAATTAACTTGAATCAAGAGAAAAATTCTTGAACTGATAAATTTTTCTTGATTTAAGTTAATTTTACTTGATTCAATAATCTATAACATGCACTTTACGAAATTTTCAAAAAATTTCAAGGATAATGACATAAAAATAATTATTTTTGCTGATTTTACAAGCTGTAAATAAAAATGAAAAAAAAATGATTAAAAAGAAAATTAAATATAATTACATGAACTTTAAAATTCAGTTGCTAGAATTTAGTTATCAATTATAGTTTTTAAGTTATTCAGGAAAATCTCGTAAAATTTTGATTTTCATGATAACTTTGAAATTAATGAACCGATTTAGCCCATTTTCGAACTTGACCGAGATTTTTATTCATGGAATTAATGTATTGAGTTGCAATGAGATCTGTTAAAAATTGCGGCAGTAATCGTGTTGACAAAGCCGATTCTGTCATATACATAAACTTTTGAGCCGATACTATTTTTCGGTATAACTAAACAAAATAAAACATATTGTAGTTAAATTTTTATGTAAATTTCAACATGAGTATCTCTGCAACATCTAAGATGTTTTCTAAGGAAATCTTCCTAATAACATAGTCTTAGTACCTCTTTCTTTGTTAAAAAATCTTCAAAAATTGTCATATATTTGTAAATCCCACATTCGCTTTTATATTCATATTCTTAAAATTTTTTTAGAAATGTAAAAAAATTTAATAAATAAACTTTATTAAAGAAAATTTAACTTTATCTATTGACAATACATTTAATTATGTTAAAAAGCGACAGAGTGGTGAAGTTTTAGGCGACTATAGTCTTGTATACAAGGTTGACGCAACGAGATAAGTTTGTGTCCTCACACGCGACTACAAAAAATCTCATTTACTCAGTTCATACGTGAATAAATGTCAATTTTTTTAACAGTTAATGAATTTTTCCATCAGAGTTACAATAA